AGCGTCCCCTACAAGGTGTACTTTCCTCCTCCTCTCTCTCTCTCTCTCTCTCACAGGAGACGGCCGGCTGGATGGATTTCTACGCGACTCTCGGGGGCTGCACGGCGGGGCTCCTTGTCTCCAGGTGAGCCCATAGATCGAGGCAGAGATACCTGTACACGGACAGATACCTGTACACAAACCTGTACATGAATAGATACCTATACACATACCTGTACTCATACCTGTACATGAATAGATACCTGTACAAATACCTGTACTCATACCTGTACATGAATAGATACCTGTACACATACCTGTACTCATACCTGTACATGAATAAATACCTGTACACATACATGTACACGGGCAGATACCTGTACACACACCTGTACCCACACCTGTACCTGAGCAGATCTGTACTCGGGCAGATATCTGTACTCGGATAGATACCTGTACACGAACAGATACCTGTACACACACCTGTACATGGGCAGATACCTGTACTCGGATAGACACCTGTACTCGGATAGATACCTGTTCTCGGATAGATACCTGTACACGAACAGACACCTATACATGGATAGATACCTGTACTCGGATAGATACCTGTACACAAACAGATATCAGTACACGGATAGATACTTGTACACACACCTGTACACACACATGTACACGAGCAGATACCTGTACACGGGCAGATACCTGTACTCGGATAGATACCTGTACACGAACAGATACCTGTACACACATCCTGTACTCGAGCTAAAGAGTTCACGAACAGATGAGGACAAAGGAAGCCGGCAGTTTCCAGTTTCTCAGATCTGTGCATAAGTACAATTGAATGTAGAAGATTTGGTTGAAGCTACTCACTACCGATGTGTTGACGTTTTGGAACATCAGGGTTGTCAAACACAGGCTGCTCTACATTTGTCATGTGTCCTTGTTACAATGAACGTTGTTTCATTTGTCGAAAAGAAGAGTAGTGTTGGAATGAACAATTTCTAGATAAAACCAACATTCAAAGAAAGACACCACGAGACATTTTTATAAAATATTTTTGTTGTGTCGTAATTTCCTTCCTGGGTGCCAATGCCATGAGTGTGATGCGCCTACCTCAGTATGATGATCATGTCATATCGATATTAGTGGGTTGTTTTTTTAAAGACCACTACTGCACTTTACACACATAATACGATGCCTACAATGCCTATTCATTATATCCCCCCACCCTTTCCTCCCCCTCCCCCAACCCTTCCCTACCTCCTACCTCCGTCC